GACTTTCTCACGCAGCTGTCGCTCTGTGTCCAGCTCTCGCTGCAACATCTCGGCTCTGTCCTCTGCCCCATCCGCTTGCTGTTGCAGGGTTTGGATCTTCCTCTTCACAGACTCCAGAGATGTGGCTCCTGCCATGGCTCAGGGGGTTTTAAATTAATTTTTTTTTTTTATATATATATAATATATATGTACGTGTGTGTGATGTGGCTATATATAAAAAAAATGAATGCAATGATAAAACAATTTTTTTTAAAAAAAATTGAGAGTGGAAGAAATAAAAGCACAGGACACACACACTACACTTTCTCTCTCTCTCTCTCTCACTCACTCACTCTCAACTCACTCACACTCACACTCACCAAATGCAAGTTGGTTGCAAAGTTAAGTGGAGAGGGTTGTGTGTGGGGGGTGGGTAGGGGGGGAAAAAGAATGCCTTTGCTGTGTGCTGTTAGGACTTCTTTAACTAGTTCCCTTCCTCACTCACTCACTCACTCTCACTCACTCTCTCTCTCTCTCTCTCTCTCTGTGTGTGTGGATCTGCTGAGATGTCTCATCAATTGAACATCTGAAAGAGAGGAAACTTTGTATCTCTCACTCACTCACTCACTCATTCACACACAACCACACAAAGTCAGGATTTTTACTGGGGAAGTGGGGTGGGGTGTGTGTGTGTGTGGGGGGGGGGGGGGGGAGGGGGTGGGGGGTGGAAAAAGGAAGAAAAGCTTATGAAAAGCACCCAATGGGAGGTGGGTTTCTGAATGGCATTACGTAAATCTTTTCCTGAGTGGGAGGGCACAGACAGACTGATGTCACTTCGTTCTAAAAAAAAAGGGTGGGTTTGGGTGTAAAACTCACCAGCAATTTTTTTTTTGGACTTATTTGGGAATGAAATGGAAACGGTTCAGAGGCCGCTTCCAGCGCCTGTGTGTTTTAAGGCGGAAATGGACAAATTGCAGGAATTTTTTTGGGGGGGGGGGGCGTTCGTTTCTTGAAAGGCTCGTGACAATGCTCTCGTCGCTGGTGATGCGCTTCTGCACGGATCTGGCGCTGTGCCTGATCTTAGGAATGTAATTACGGGGCGCTGCAAGCGTCGTCTTCGTGTCTGCCCTCGGCGTTGGGTACCGTTTTGTGCTTCTTTTTTTTTTGGTATGGCTCCAGGGTGACAGCCCTCTGCGGCGGTCTTGGTAGTCCGGTTCCTGAGCCAGACGGGTCCGCGGTATTCCAGGCCACTGATGGTGGTAGCACAGCTCAGCCTGGCTCAACAGCAGAACTTGGAAGGGAAGAGCAGTCGCAGGAGGCAGGGAAGCGTCCCACTCAGCTACTGTTAGCCAAAAGCCCTAACAGATAGGGTGGTCCGAGCTGGACAAGCAGCGGGAAAGCTTGCCAAGCACTGTGCTTCCGAATCGAATGGCATCATCCTCACTTGGCAAAGAGATGGAATGATACCATTCCAATAGGAAACACCCCACAGCGCCATTATCTACTGCTCAAAAAGCAAGTGGAGTTTTTAACTACATTGGTTACGGAAGTCAGAGATGATATTCAGATACTCCAGTAGCATATTAGTCAGAGCACTCGCCTTGGAAGCGAGAGGACCCGGGTTCAATTCCCATGCAGGGTGAAACTTTAGGCAAGTGTAATGTAACACACGCCTCTGTTCAACTAGCAGTAAGTAGGAACCTGGATGTTAGTCAATTGGCAGATCGCTTTTCCGGGGGGTAATAATTGCTCCAAAAAATAAGAAATAATAATTTGGTCACTCAATCCACGACTGTTTGTGGGACACTGCTGCGCACAATTAGCTGCCAAGTTTCACCCACAAAATAGAATCAATTCACCATATATTCTGTGAAGCACTTAAAGACGTCTCAACAACAACAACAACAAAATTACATTTGTAAAGCGCCTTTCACGTCGGGGGGAACATCTCAAGGCGCTGAACAATCGGCGATTAGGACCCGAGCGTGGGGCTGGGGGGTGGGCAGGGTTGGGGTGAGGGAGGGCAGGAAGATAGGAGGGCGGCTGAAGGCACGGTCGAAAGGGAAGCTCTTGAGTCGTGCCTTGAAGGAGGCAAGGGAGAGAGCGAGGCGAAGGGATTGTTGGGAGGGAGTTCCAGAGGGTGAGGGCAGAGAGGCCGAAAATCCAGCCGCCGATGGTAGGGCGGATTGGGCAGGAGACCTGGAGAAGGCTGGAGCCTGCTGAGCGGAGGGAGCGGATAGGTTGATAGGGGCTCAGCAGGTCAGAGATGTAATAATAATAATAATCCTTGCATTTGATGTAGTGCTTTTTACGTCTTCGAGACGCCTCAAAGCGCTCCACAGAATATACTGTAAAGTGAATTGACTGTACATTTGTGGGCGAAACGCGGCAGCCAATTGCGCACAGCAGCGTCCCACAAACGGTTGTGAGTTGAAGCAACCAATTTTTTTTTTTTGGAGGGGGCAAGGTCGTGGAGTGCCTTGAAAGTGAGGACGAGAATTCTCTCCTGTTAGTGATGGGGAGCCAGTGGAGTTGCGCGAGGTTGGGGGTGATGGGAGTCACGGAGCCTGGTGCGGGAGAGGACACGAGCCGCAGAGTTCTGGATGACCTACAGCCTTGTGGAGGGAAGAGTTGCCGACATGGATGGGATTTCCATAGTCGAGCCTCGAGGTGATGAATGCTTGTATGAGCATTTCGGCGGCCTGAGGGGTGAGGCACTGGCGGAGTCGGGCAATGTTGCGGAGGTGGTGGGGGGGAAGGCGGACTGGGTCATGGCATGGATATGGGGGAGAAAGGACAAGGAGCTGTAACAACTTAATGAGGAGATCAAATGCACGGATTATAATAATACTCCTTCCACTTGATACAGCGGCTTTCACGTCAGGAGCACGTAACAGAGTTCTGCTGTGACTTTTATTTAGTGACTGTGCACAGCAACCTCCCACAAACAGCCAAGAAGTGAATGACCATTTATGTTTTGATCGGGAGGATTGTTGGCCGGGATCCCGGGAGAAATTCCCTACTTTAGAGTCCATCTCAACAGGAGTATGTACGATTGTCCACGTGTGAGCGAGCGTTGGCAGGTGAAGCTGAGCCGGGTTGTGTACTCAGACACTATCACTGAATGCATTTGTCAGGGCTGTGAGTCACTAATCAGACACTTCCTATGTGACTCAGCCCGACTCAATGAGGTGACGTCACTCACACCTGTAACCTGGCCTAAGGGAGACAGGCCACCACCCCCCCACCAAGCTGAATAATCCACCCCCTCTTGTTCTGAAATTGGCCGACAGAAATACACAGTCACTACGCTTCGCAGTAAATCCTGCGAAGCGATTTGAGGTGTCCTCCTGACGTGAAAAGCTCTTTATCAAATGCAAGGGTTATTGTTATTAAAAACTATTATTTTCACTTTATCCTATCTCCTTCCTAACCTGCTGTACCCCCCCCCCACCCCCCCTCTCTCTCTCTCTCTACCCCCACCCACACCCCCCACCCCTCAACAGACTGACTACACTATGGGTGTGATTGTCCCTCTCATTTCTTCTTGAATTGGCCGCAAAATGCAACCATTTTATTCAATGTTTCAAGACAAAATCATTCACAACTTGAGTCCATCTACTGCAGGACTAGCACTGACACGCACTGCAATAGCAAGACAATGACCTGTCCTGAAGCACGATCGACTCGTTCGCTACTATCGACCCGTACAAGCCTTAAGATATACATACGTGTGCACACACACACACACACCCACACGTGCACACACAAATCTACGCGTACACAAACGTTCATGTTCATACACGGAGACATGTACGCGCACAGACACGTGTGTGCACGCACACACACACACAGGCAGGGGTAGTTATAGGTAAGGGTAGATGGTCGCTCTGTCAGAGTGTAGCACTGTTCTGCTGTCATGCTGAGGAATCGCAAAACTCTGTAACACAATCCTAATTTGGAAGCCCGTTTTCCGCGGTTCAGTTTCCGAATGAAGACTTTCCAAAGTTTTCCGAAGTTTGAACGGGACGTTAACTTTGTTAAGACAACGATCTCAAGGCTCGGACTGTTAGACGTTTCGGATCTCGGACTGTGAGACTTTTTGGGGATGGCTAAAAACAGATTTCTTCAGCATAACGTCCCTGTTTGTTTGAGCTCCAGGTCAGCAGCAAGAGCCGCCCGCTTTGGGTGTGACGGCTGCCAGAGGTGGACAGATGTGCTGCCCAGATGCGCCACCCAACGGCACCTCTTGTCCCCACGTCGGAAAGAAAGAACTTACATTTTTGCGTCGCATAGAACTGGGCCTCGCAGTAACCCAGTGTGCGAGGCAAACCGCACTGTCTGAGTCTGTGATGATGTTCTTACACTGTTCCACTAGTAGAGGAGTTGCACAAGTGTGTAGCCCAGTAACGTTACAGCCTGTGTGAGAGAGATTTAAGCTACACGTAGGCGATGTGCTGTTAGCCAGCAGTGAACCTCGCACATTTCCTGCTCAAGGCCCTGGCCCCACTGTCCTTCAGTCCAAAGGCCATTGGTGTTGTACAGCGAGCGAGAGAGAGAGAGAGAAATGTTAACCCCACGATGTTGAGGCAAGACATTAATAACAAAGCCGCCTGGGATGTCAGTGTCTGAGGCACCAACTGCACTCCACTGTCATTGTACAGTCAGGGCCTGAATGCAGACCAAAGGGGAATAGCCCGAGCTTCAGATCATCTCGTACCCAATGCTAACTCTTGCTGTGTTTGGGGGTGCTTTCTGCATACGCGTGCCAGTGCGTGTGTGCACAACGACGCACACACACGTGTGTGTCTGTACGCATACATGCCTCTACGTATGCGTAGGATTGTTTGCATGTGTATGCGTGTGCATGTGCCAGTGTGTGTGTGTGTGTGTGTACATGATATTGTGTCTGCGTGCACACACATATATATGTGTGCCCATATGGGTAGACGGGCAAGTGTAGATGGTCACTCTATCAGCCGACCCGGACAGAGAAGGATCAAAGCGTTTGAAATACTCACGTCCGAAGCTTTCTTCTCCGCCATTTCCAGTTTTTCTTGGGCCTCTTTCAGGGCCTCGGAGAATTTATCCAGTTCATCCTCAGTGTTCTTCAGCTTCTTTCCCTGAGTAAGCAACTCCTCTTCCACCTGGAGAGTCAGACATGGGGAGAGTCAGAAACACCCAGGCCCAGACTCACCCAAACCAACACCCATCCCATCTGGCTTTATAGGGAACCCCTTGTCCACATTGCCCAACACAATATTGAACATGACAGTACTTCGGATAGGAGCAGCTTCCTCCATTACACTGTCACGTACAGTAACTGTACAGATGAACACTACTGTTAAACACTGTGTGTTAAGTACAGAGTTTCTCTCTGTACAATGTCTATACATTGCTTAACTGCTCATAGATTCTGCCCCACGTGAAGGGCGCTATATAAATGCAAGTTGTTGTTTGTTGTGGTTGTTATACACTGTACAGTGGGACACTGTATTATACACTGTACAGTGGGACACTATTATACACTGTACAGTGGGACACTGTATTATACACTGTACAGTGGGACACTATTATACACTGTACAGTGGGACACTATTAGACACTGTACAGTGGGACACTATTATACACTGTACAGTGGGACACTGTATTATACACTGTACAGTGGGACACTGTATTATACACTGTACAGTGGGACACTATTATACACTGTACAGTGGGACACTATTATACACTGTACAGTGGGACACTATTATACACTGTACAGTGGGACACTGTATTATACACTGTACAGTGGGACACTATTATACACTGTACAGTGGGACACTGTATTATACACTGTACAGTGGGATAGCCCCACTCCCTGTTATTCACTGTGGAATGTAACGCGATTCCCTGTACATTGCAGGTTTTGCTGGTGAAGTTGGGGTTGGGAATGTGGAGAATCCTCACCGTTTCCTGACTGTGAAACAGTGTGAGAGTGGCCGGCAGCGTGTGTGACTGCGGCGTGTGTGGTCGGCAGAGATTTACCGTGTAACCTGACGCCGCTGAAGCCTTTCTGTCCTCACAGAGCTCGCAGACTCTCAAACACAAACTGGCAGATTAACCCCTTTCCTGCCCAGCAATTCACAAGTAGTTCATAATGTTTATTACGGAGACTGTGCTCACTCCCTTCGCTCAGCTGCTCTCGTGCACCGAAGCTTTGAAACTCATCCACAGTCTGCACAACCAGATGGGAAGAAGATTCTCTGGTCAGCCCCAGTGAGGGAAGTGAATTAACCCTCCAGGGGAACTGAAATCTATATTCATGACTAACACATCTCAAGTGGCAGCCGCTGCGACAATGGCAAACTGTGCGGCTTTAGCTGATTAAACAACTAACCCAACGCACACACTGGGGTCCCCCAAGCCTTGGCTCTTGCCGACCTGCGCCTAATACCTTCCGGAATTCGGTAAGCAGGATGCGTCCCTCCAGGGAGAGAGACTGCGCATTCCGTTCCAGCGATCTATCTCTGGGATTTCCATGTGTCGGTGGGATGCATGGAATTCTCAGCTTGCTTTGGAGGCTCTTAAGCAACGGTGATGGGTTTCCGCATGTGTCAGACACCCGGCTGGCCAAAAAAAACCATTAACCAAAATAGACACTTAGAACCTACTTAAACAATCATTCTGAAGTGGAGACAACTTGATAAAAAAGTCTGTCACTTCTGTGATGAGACAAAGAAGTTGATTTGCTCAGCCTCTTTTAAACTTGTGTATATAATCATCCCTCTGGTGAAATAACAACAGCAACTTGTATTGATGTAGGGCCCCTTTCACAATGGAGTAGCGTCTCAGAACACTTAACAGAACTTGATGCCTAACCAGGGAGCGAGGGGTGTTGGAGGCACAGCCTTCATCAGGTCACCTTCCCGCATATTCACTGCTCTCTGTGTGATATCATTCAATCTGATCTGCCCATTCGCCTTTCTGTCTTCCTAACGTGAGTCCATCTCCCCTTCCTGCCTCATCCAGATCTAAACTCAAGTCTCCTTATCACACAAAGGAATTTAATGTCACTCCACCTCATATTAATTGCCTCCACTGAATATCTGTAATTCAGAGAAGGCTTAATCTGGTCAGAGATAAGGCTCCAGATAGTTATCATGACTGCAGATCACTGCTACTCTCTGTCTTGTCTTGCTGTAAGAATTTTCAGTCCAAACACACTGGAATGTCAGAATGATAACGCACGTAGATCTGACTTCGTAATCCAGCCCTGGTAACTAGCAGCATAAAACCTTAGATTAAACCGGATCAGGCCATGATATTGTAACACACTCTTGTTTTGAGGAATATTCCTGATGAGTTAACCACTTGCAATGATGGTTTCATTTCTTCAGCATAGAGTTCTATACAATAATAAAGGGTAAATCAGATGGAAAAGGCCAAACCCTCTTCCCCTTGAAACAACAACTCCTTAAAAGGGAGTGGGTTCCAGTGGGCTACATTGCGCCTTACCTAATCTCTCTCTCCAAATTATTGAGTGAAGCTCAGCGATAGATTCCTACTGGTGAATGAATCTTAGCTGTTTGCTCTTTAGTATTTGTTTGAGCAAATTACGTCTCTCCCTATCTCTCCTCTCCCTGCCCCCCTCCCTCGCCATGGACATTGTCTTGTCCCTTATCTTTACAGATACTGAGTGGAATGCCGTATTGTTGATAAAACCCCATTGATTTATGATCGCTATTCGTTACCATCTGGAATGCACAGCCTGAAAGGCCGGCGGAAGCAGATTCAATAATAACTCTCAAAGGCGTATTGGATATAATAGTAATAATAATGATGAGAATAATAATAATCCTTGCAATTGATATAGCTCCTTATCACATCTTCGAGACGCCTCAGAGCGCTTCACAGAATACACACCGTGGAATGAATTGAATGTACGTTTTGCAGCCGAAACTTGAAAGGGAAAATATATATACTTGAAAGGGAAAAATCTGCATGGCTACGGGGAAAAGAGCGGGGGAGTGGGACTGACCTCTTTCAAAGAGCCGTCACAGGCACAATGGACCGAATGGGCTCCTTCTGTGCTATGGGATTCTATGATTCTATGAACTGAATTCCAGCTTTTTTATTCCCATTTCTGAGCAGTAGTTGGGATCGCTTTGGGACACTGCTCTCACCCACCTCACCCTGAGCTGTGCTTCTCACCAAGAGGCTGGTGTCTGCTGTTCTGCTGCTAGATATCTTAACGGTCAACTGGTGACTACACTCCTTGAGGATAAAGATAAGTGGAATTTTCCTTGCAGCTGAGCTGGCTCCAAGGTGACGTCCCTAGCAAAACCTCTGTGGCAGTGTTGGCTGTCTTATTCCTGAGTCGGGCAGTATCGCAGGGCACTGCTGATGACAGACCAGCCAGACTGCCTCATCAACAGGACTTAGAGGGGCAAAATAATCACTGAAACGGACTGGTCTACCCCTCCAAAATTCTGTCTGATTGGCTTGTGTTAGCCTTGCAAGTCAAAGCCCAAATGGGTGTGGGGGAACTAGCTTGGACAAGCAGTGGGAAAGCTTACCAGACAGTGCTCTCAATGACAAGTGCTGTGATCTTAGCTGGTTAAACCCCAGCAACACCCCCCCCTTCCCCACCCCCCCACCCCCACCACCCCCCTACACATTCTGGGGTCCCCAAACCTTGGCTCTCCTCTGATATTTTCTGAGATTAGATGAACAGTCCCTTGAGGAAGAGGACGGGGGGAGAAGAGGGCACACTCCACGGGGAAACTTCCATACACGTGTGGAACTCTTGGTCTGGTTTCCATGCTCTAAAGCGCGGCGTGTCAGGAACCCGTCTCTACGTCTCCACCTCCCTCTTCTCGTATGAGGGAATTCTTCACCCTCGATCTGGTCAAACCCTTGCTAGCTATCAATGCGGATTTAAGCGTAACATCTCTTTATACGCTCGCATTAACAACATGCATTGATACAGACAGGGTAGGGTCCCGGAGCGTTTAAATGTCAGCCCCGTGTCAGAAGGCTTCCTCTTTGCTGCTCTCCCATTTTGCTTTCTTTTCAAACTCCCCCCCCCCCCACCCCCTTCACCACCTTTCTCTATCTCCATTGAAAACCTTTCTCTTTACTTTACTTTACTTTCTCCTTCCTTCCTTTTTCTCTCTCTCTCTCTCTCTTTCTCTCTCTCCCTATTTCATCACTAACGTCATCAATACCAGTAGGGTTACTCTACCTCCTCGCTCAACCTGACTCCAGACACACCTCCCAGAGATCTGGCAATTTCCTCTGTCCCTGGATATTATTGGTTCCTTCTCTTAATTCCCCGTTTCACACCTTTGTTAAAGTAAACCCTTTTCTGCCCTTCGACCAAATCCCCTGAAGAAATCACTTGCCAATCCCTCATGTGCGAGGCCAGGCAATGAGTTGACATGGAGACAAACCCGCCAGTTACCCTACACCGATCAAACCCCTCACTCCCAAACACAAGCAACAAAGAGACGAGCAACCCGTTAAATACTGGGGTGAACTTGGATGAGGAGGGGGGTAATTTAGCCCTGGACAATTGGGAGAGAAATACCAAGTTCCTTCAAAATAGCTTCAGGGATGGAGGCAGATAAGCCAAAGCACGAGGCAAAAAGGACCTAAATAAATAACTGGGTATCAATGACCTGCATGTGCAAGGTTATAAATCTACTTGACTCTTTCTTCGATCATGCTTACGGTCATCCACCCACCCCCCCACCCACCTCCCACCCGGCTCGACTTTGTGTTCTCCCGCTTGTCGAGCTCTCTGGGACGCTGCCATGAGTGAGGGGCGCTCTATAAATGCAAGTTGTCATTGTTTTTTGCTATTTGTTCGGGTATTTATTCCTTCCTTAAATTTGCAACGATGTGGGGGAGAGAGAGCGGGGGAGTGGGACTGATTGGGCAGCTCTTCCAAAGAGCCAACACAGGCAGGATGGGCCGAATGGCCTCCTTCTGTGCTGTAATATTCTATGATTCCACAGAATTCCCCCCATTTGACCATTTCACTGACCATTTTGGCCTTGTTCTCCGCCGCCTTCTTATCAGCCTCCGCCTGCTCCGCCCTGTCGATGGCGTTCTCCTTGTCCAGCTTCAGCATCTGCATCTTCTTCTTGATGGCTTCCATGGTTGCGGCGGTAGAGGAGAGGAGCCCGAAGCACTCACAAAGGAAGAGAGAGAAAGAGAGAGAGAGAGAGAGAGAGAGATAGAGGAAGGTGGAAGGTGAAGAAGACAGTGAAGCAAAGGAACGAAGGAGCGAGGGAGAGAGCGTGGCTCAGAGGGAGAGAGTGTGAGACACACTAAGCCACTGCGGCTCAGCCCACACAGCTTTAAATTCCTTAAAGAAAAGGAATTGCTTTTTTGGAGAGCTTCCCGTTTTCCCCCTGACGGCCTTAGGTCGTCTGATTTGTGGACTCGTCTTTGGAATGAGGTGTTGTAATCAACTGGACCTGGCCAATGCCCGTATTTGGGGCTGAGGTTTATTTCCAAAGAAAAAGATCATGTTGCCGTTTTTAAACCCCCAGCGCCATCCACCCCCCCCCCCACCCCCCCCCCCCCAACCACTATCGACAGGTTCGGAGAGGGAAGAAAGTGTTGACATCTGCACAGCTGTGCTCAGCAACTCGCCCCTTCCCCCGAGTGCTTTAAAACAAACGGCTCCAAACACAGAATCTTGGTGATGGTAATAATCAACGAGTTTTAATCCTCGCGTTTAATACAGCGTCCCTTTCAGGTCAGTGGGCCGCCTGTAAAGCGTAGGTTGACTGCGTATTTTGCAGGCCAATTTGGCACACAGCAATGTCCTACCAACAGTCATGAAGTGAAGTGAGTGACTGACTTCACCTCAGGGGATTGTTGGCCAACACACCGGGAGAGAGATAAACACTCCCTCCTCTTTTCGAATAGTGCAGTGGGATCTTTAACGTCACGTCTGAAACCGGCACAGACGGGACCTCGGTTTAGCATCTCAATCGACGGATGGCACCTCTGATAATTCAGCGCTCCCCATAGCACTGCGTTGGAGTGAGCGTCAGCTGAGACTACGTGAGTTCAAATCCCCGACATTGGGTTTGAAGTAACAAGCTTCGGCCCCAGTTGCCACCAACTGAGCCTGGCTGGGACTCGATAGCGGTTGTAAAAGTCGACCTAAAACGCAAGAATCCGAGGTAGAAAGACGTGATGGATGCTAGGTTTCTTTTAGGAAAAACTCGCGCTTTTTTAAAAGAAAACTGATCGGAATTACAACAGCAACTCGCAATTTTCTAGCACCTTTCAAGTAAGAAGGGCAGCGTTCTCGAAACGCTTGAACTTGGAGAGAAATTCAGCACAAAACTCATCAAGTGACTGCAAATTTTGCGTTTTGTGATAATTCTCAGTCACAGACCGCACGTTTCCTCCTCTTCTGACTATCTCCAAGCAGCCATTACCCGCTCTCTCTGTGGTGGGTGACATCAACGAATCTAGCCCTAGAGAGAGAGCCTGTCACAAGGCTGGTTTAGCTCAAGACCAGGAATTATTGGGTTATCTAATTCACATTGACAGCATTGCTTCCATCGAGGAGTGAGCATTGTCACTACCCAACTACTTCTTCATAGAAACTCTGACGCCCGACGTTTAATGTCCAGAATGAGGGAGATGGTCGTTTGCTTGTGACTCTCCTTTGATTTGTTTCTTTCTCTGCACCCCCCCCATGGCTCAGGTCCCTGCCTCTCCTGTGACCCAGAAGCTGGCGGGTTCGTTGAAGTCCCATACATGAGCTCACAGGCCAGGCTGACCGACATTCCCTCGAACTCAACCTCCTTGAGCTTATAGAAAGTCACCAGTGCAGACCCCATGGGCCGAACGGACCATTTCTGTGCTGTAGCGTTCGAGAATTCCTTGAGGTTCTTGTGCACCGTCCAGAGTGGGTCGCGCCCGATTCATTTACTCATCAGACCTCCTTCTCTCTAATTATCGTACAGCAATGCGCGTGAATTCTATTGAAATGCAACGTTCCTTTTCGCTTTTTTCGGACCCTTGCGGTCGGTGGTTCTTGACGATTTCCTGCGTGAGCGACCGGCAGGAATTGTAAGTGGGATGCAGCTGGACTTTGGATAAGACTGTCAGAAACTCGCTCCGAGCTTCGTGGGGCCCAATGCAGTAACTCAGCCTTGAACCAGATAAAGACGCAGCTCTCGGGCATGTTATAATGACATAATAATAATCCTTGCCTTTGATACAGCGCTTTATCACTTCAGGCTGACGTTTCAAAGCGCTTCACAGAATATACAATAAACTGAATTGACAGTGTATTTTGTGGGCATAATATTTTTTAAAAGGGATTACTGCCTCCGGAAAGCTTTCCTCCAATCGACTAACAACCGAGTTCCTACTTACTGCTGGGTAAACAGAGGCGTGTGGAGTTAAGGAAACTTGCCTAAAGTTTCGCCCCGCTGGGGAATTGAACTTGGGTCCCCTCGCTTGCAAGGCGAGTGCTCTAACCATTATATCGCAGGACTCTGCTGTAACTCTTTGACTTGTGGCTGGTTAGTGACATTCCTGAGACTCAGCAGCGAAAGGGACTTAGCAGAGCCATCCATTAATCATTCCCCTGACATGTCAGCAATGGCACTTCACTGTTCCTGTCAACACCAGGAGCTTGACAGAGAGGGTGTCACCTCGTTACAAGGGGAGAGATCAGGGCTGAGGGCTGAGTGGCTCTAACGTGTGACAACACTTCATTGGCAAAGTGTCTTAACATCAGGCCCACCGCAACGGATGTGGGAACATGCTGGGGTCTGGCCAGACACACACCGGGGCTTCGCACGTGGAGGTCCGGGAACATTTCTTGGCATCTTTTATATTTTACGTGCTGACAAGGTTGGGGTCAGCGTTAGCCACGGTCTGGCTCAGTCAGTTGCGCTGGGTATAGGGTCGCATTCCGAGGCTTGAGCTCACGATCTACATTGGCGCTGGGTTCCTGGGAGAGCATTCTACCTCTCACGCCACCCCGCGCGATGTACTCTATATCAATACAAACTGTCGCGGTGACTCTAATAATAATAGACCTCGCATTTGATGCAGCGCCTCATCACGTCCTCGAGACGTATCAAAGCGCTTCACGGGAATATACGGTGAAGTGAATTGACTGGGTATCATTCTGTGGGCGAAACGTGGCAGCCAATAACGCACAGCAGCGTCCCCACAAGCAGCCGTGGATTGAAGTGACCAAATTATTATTATTTTTTTGAAGGGATTAATTTACCTCCTGGAAAAAGGGATCCTCCAATCGATTGACAACAGGGTTCCTACTTACTGCTCGGTAAACAGAGGCATGTGGAGTAAGGAAACTCGCCTCAGGTTTCGCTCTGCCTTACCTTTGACTACACTTAACCGTATTGACCGTGAAAGACTTTATAGAGATGTCTCAAACTGATAAAGCGCTATTAAGCTGCAACTTCTTTCTCTCCTCTCTTTTTCTTCTGCACAGGAGTGTCAACTGAAGTTGCCACACAGCAGGGAGTGGAAGAGATTGGTTCAGACCCAGGTTGGTTCACACTCATTAGCACATTACTCAGTGCCGGGACGAGATGGCGAGGAGCAATGAGCGTTCTAGTCTCTCTCTCCTGCTTTCTGTGTGGAAACTCGATCATTCCCATAGGAAAAGACACTCATTCTGCAACCCGCACATAGCCTTGTAGGGTAATAATAACCCAGGCAGCCAGCTCTCGCCACAAAACAGGAAGAGCACCACCATCTCATTCCTGCAGGCAGTTTGGCAATAAAAATGTGCAACTCAGAGAGTTTTGTACATTCCTGTTCGATTTTATTTTGTTTATCTGCCCTGGACGGACGTCTCCCCATGCCAGACATTAACTGGAGGTGTCAGGGCGAAAGAAGAAGCAGGGGAATATTACCATGAGCCTTATCACGTCTTCGAGATGCCTCAAAGCGCTTCACAGAATATACTGTAAAGTGAACTGACCTTATATTTTGTGGGCGAAACGCGGGAACTAATTGCGCACAGCAGCGTCCCATAAACAATCGTGGATTGAGTGACCACACTTTTTTTTAGGGGATGATTACCCCCAGAAAAGCGATCCACCAATCGACTAACCAATGGGTTCCTGCTTACTGCTAGGTAAATAGAGGCGTGTGGAGTAAGGAAACTTGTCTAACGTTTTGCCCTGTCTGGGGATCGAACCCAGGTCCTCTCGCTTGCGAGGCGAGTGATCTAACCAATACGCTACAGCAATCCCCGATTAAAAACATTTGGTTTAACTGTCATTATAATGTTGTTACAGTTTACATCACTCTGTGGAGACAACTTCATAACGGTTTTCAGTGATGGGTCAGCTGGACCAATAGCACTGCCCCCTTTCCTCTCCAACAACAACAACAACAAATTACATTTGTAAAGTGCCTTTTGTGTCCCGTCACGTCTCAAGGCTCTGGACAGTCAGGGATCCTCACCCGAGCTGGTGATTGGGATCAGGAGGGGTGGAGGGCGGGAGGGGAGGGGCAGGGGGGTTAGAGCGAGCGCTTTGAGACATCCTCCCGGGCGTGAAAGACCCTGCGCCGTGTAAGAGTGAACCGCATTGTACAGAATGAAAGGCCAAAGGGGGTTACGGGCAGGAACGGGGTTGCCTTCTGTCACAGGTTCGAGGAAGGAGGTTCGAGCAGAGTCGCTCTCCCGCGTCGCGAGTAAACCCTTCCCATCGGGAATGGCGGCGTCAGGCCTGCCGGGACACGGGAGGGAAGGGGGGCGGTGTGGAAGCGACAACAGAGGACCCGGGGGCGTGACAGCGTTTCCTGAGCCGTGCCACAGGCTATGACGATGAGCGTTTCTTCCCTTCAAAGCCCGCCCGATGTATTGGTAATGAACACACTCACTGCAGCCTGACCCCTCGGGCTGATAGACTGTAAATGATGCCATCCTCAAACTATGTGGATTGACTGCCTCCTCACTGACATTTACGCCTTTTTAGGTCATATAGAGATATTGCTCGCAGTGAGCCAAACTAACATTTGACCTTTACCTAAATTGGAGAGAGGAATGGGGGGGGGGGGGAGAGGTGGGGGGGCTTTGGTGGGTGGTGGGGGAGCGGTGGGGTGGGGTGGGGGAAAGGGTTTGATACACAGCCAACTTGCTTTTGTTTTCGATTGTAATCTCCTTACTCGTTCAGTGCTGAAAAAAATGTGTAACGGAATGCCAGGTTCTGACAAGCAGTTGGGCCGCAGAACAGTATCCGGGGATTAACTTGTTCGAACGTAATATTCCTGAAATTCCTCAGCAAGAAGAAATTTGCTCTTAAAGGGCTGGGAGGGGGAGGGAGAGCGATTTGCATGCTTGCAACCAGACAGCCGTTGCAAGGGACTTCTGAAAGCTTCACCTGAACAGAATAGCGCCCGGGACCCAG